TGATTCGATGAGGAACCAAGGGGAGCCGGGTCTCTGAGCGCGGCTTATAACCCGGTGCGCTTTATATGTGAAAAAAGTTTGGAAAATTAACATTAACTGATACTGCGGCTTTTAATCCGGTGCGGCTTATGGTCGTGAAAATACGGTAAATAGTAATAGCATTTACACTTATAAACTGCTTCACAATGCTTTATAGCCCTGTTTAAGTGGTTTACAGAGTCAGCAAACATATTGCCCCCAACAATCTGGGTCCTCATTTTATTGACCTTGGAAGGCTGAGTCAACCTTGAGTTTAGGATTATACTTGACAAGTCTGCTTTGCAAACAACCATTTTAGTGGGATGCTAAGAAAAATAAGGCATGTTTAAAAAAGAGGAAGAAGTTAAGTCAATAATATGATGGATGAGATAAATTAAAGGAAGAATGTGGGAGATGGGACAAACAAGACAGGAGGAAGAAATAGAAGGAGAGAATGTTTTTTAAAAAAATCACACAATACCTGGAAAAAATACAATAATACAAAAATATAAAAAAGGCATATGAACCTAAGAGAAAGGGGAAATAATATTGTAGTTTCAAGGTTCATCTTTGTATTTTTCTCATACAGAATTTGGTTTGTTTAGATCCATTTCTGCAATATGAAATAACTGATATGTCAAAGTGAATTTTGCTATATTGTATATATAGCATTACATTTAAGGTTTAGGGCAATGTTAAGGATACAAAATATCAAATCAGTTTTCATGGCCTTGTGTGTCTGGCATAGTTTGGTAAAATAATAAAAGTTGTTACTATTATTAGATTTTTATTCTGCTTTTATTTATATATAAATCAAAGTGGCAAACATTTCTAGTATTCTTGCCTCCTGTTTTTCCTATAACAACACTAGAATGTTGGTTGGGCTGAGAAAGGACTGGCAAAATTCTGGAAGAAAAATAGTAATGACATATAGGCGTTGAACTACATATGGAATTATATTGTACTTTTGAAATATTTTAGATACCCAATGCGTACACTTGTATGAATATTACCATAATTCAGAGAATTGTAGGCTGACAAAGTATAAGGCTAAAGTCAAAATACCTTTCTCCAGTCTCCTTGCCTTGCTCTCTTCATTGATAAACTAATGGCTAGATATTAGAGAAAAGATAAGAAGGTATGTAATTTCCTAATCCTCTCAGTGGGAAAAGAGCTGATAGTATGGGAATAATGGGAAGAGTTAGTGCATAACAGGAGAGACTGCTAGGTTACATTCTGTCCACAGACCATCTCCATTCCTGATCTAGATTACATTTTTAAAAAAGGATGCTGAGCTTTTTCCCACCCAAGGACTGTGCTGTTTATTTGAAGGATGGGATGGGATGGGGACTGTACTGCAAAAAATACTGGCTGGGATCAGAGCAAAACTACAGTTGATTTCATTTACATATGAATTTATTTCATATAAAACATAATGAATATCTTGCCAGTTGTATATTATCTTGCCAGTTGTGTATTTAGTAACTTCCTCCTCCTACAGAATTATATTATAGATTTCAGTTTGGAAGCAAGGGTTAAAAGCCTTATCTAAAGTTTGGGGGACTTTACTCAAAATCTTTGCATGCTACCTGGAACCTCAGATTACGGATCTATTTTATAAAGTTATATTTTTTTGGTCCGCATTTTTATTACAGGCAGGCAATATTGTTGTAACCACTTCTTTTCCTAGTGAAATAATAGTTTCGTGAAGTGTTAGTAAAGTTTTTATAAATTTGGTTTTCCTATTGGTTTTTGTACAGATCTCTTAATATTCAGCCTGAAAAAGATTTGTGTTTTAGATTAGAGAAAGGGAGGGAGGGAGGAAAATAGTCACTACACTAGATTTTTTTAAAAGCGATCAAATGCGTTATTGCATAGCAAACTAACCAAATTAATAATGTGGCTTTATTTAAAGGCTATTTTCATGACACAGAAAATATCCATGATCAGAGTTCTGAAATTCCTGAGGACAAAAGTTCTCCTACAGATATTTGTTTGGAGAGATTTACTGTGTACGAAAAGACAAATGTTCAATCTTTAGAAGATATAAGCCAGGTTCCGTGCTACCATCTGGACCGAAAGCGTAAACATTCTGGTGAGAACATGCAGAATAATGGAACCCCTAAAGAAAACTTTGTAGAAGAACCGGAAGAAGAATTTGCATCAAAAGGAAAAAAGAAGAAGACCTCTAAAGGTAATCAACCCCAGTTGGTCTGTTTTAAGGCATGGTTTGTGAAATGAATTACATCCCCCTTTATAGCCTTGATTCTACCAATCCAAAATTCTCCCTGAATTATATTTGGAAATTTGAAAGGTTAAAAACTAAGTCATTGGACAATGTAATCATTGGACAATGCAAAGGGCTGTATGCATGCAACCCCTTTCTGAGCAAAATGTTTAAAATTCAAGTGTAATGGTGAAGCTGAAAAAAATCTGCCCCACAAGTGAACTATAGCTTTTGTTTCAGGTTCAGGGCCTTTTGATTAATTTTTAGTTATTTTTCCATTAGATGACTGGCCTGAGAGGGAAATGACAAACAATTCCTCTAACCACTTAGAAGAGCCCAATTGTAATGAGGTGACCAACCTGAAGGTGTGCATTGAATTAACAGGGCTTCATCCCAAAAAGCAGCGTCATCTGCAGCATCTTAGGGAACTATGGGAGCAGCAGGTATCACCAGAGAGATCCCCACCCGGCAAGTTGGGCCGGCAAAGCAGGAAAGATTTAGCTGAGGCTGTTCAGCCAGAGGCCACTGCAAAGGTCAAGGACTGCACAGAAGAAAGGCACACCAAGAAAAGGTCAGAGGTCAAAAGCAATAGAAGTTGGTCTGAAGAGTCCCTCAAAACAAGTGACAATGAACCAGGTATGCAGAGATTACTAGGGAAATTTAGCATTATTTAGTGACGCATGCTGCCACCAGTGCTAGAAGTTATCAGTAGTGATTTGGGGGGGGATATAATATAATTATATTATAATATAACATAACATAATATAAAATAATATAATATAACAATATATTTAATGTAATTATTTCATTGTGTATCAGTTGGATACACAGGGACATCAGTTGTTCCTATGTGAAAGATTTAAGAAACACTATTAAATTAGTTGTGTTTGTTTTGCCAAATTTGTAAAGTGTGATATAGTATTCATTATTTTAAAACCAATATCCTAGATGATTATGTTTATGTTTTTTAGAAACAATCCTGAACAATTTTTATATAATGATAACAAGGATGATAATGATCACTTGAAAATGTTTAATTTTATTGTGGAGCTCTTAGTGCTCTGAGCTAATGATGATGATGTTGCCTAGTTGGATAATGAAATGTCCGCAAGAAATGTCCGCAAGAGATTTTATAAAATATGACTATATCAAATGGGTTAAAATTAAACCAAGTATAAAATGTTCTGAATCTTTGATCACTCATGGGAATAGGCTGCTCCATTAGGTTTTGAACTTCTGAGCTAAATCTTCATGTTCAGGGAGATGGGAGATAGAAAGACATCAGCTTTTATCTGATTTATGTTAGGAGAAGTGACAGATGATGTCCTGAATCTCTTGTTCTTTGTGTCTAATTTGTACTGGCAAGATTCCTTACCATATCTTTCTTTTCTTTCCTATTTAGTCAGTTAGTTTACTTGTGAACTTCATTTTCCAGAAATATAAGGTGCTCCAAAGCAGTTTATATAAAAAGGTGATAATTTAAATATTATAAGTAACAACAATCATATCATATCTAACAACAACAACAACAACAACAATAATGAGAAAGACAAGACAGTCTACCACTTGATCAGTGGGTGCAGCAAAATTTCACAAACTGACTACATACAATACCATGACCGTGTTGCTAAGATCATTCACTGGAAATTGTGCCAAAAGTTTGGATTTGAGTATAGCAAAAACCACTGGGACCATCAGGTTGAGAAGGTTTTAGAGAATGAGAAAGTCAAGATCTTGTGGGACTTCAGAATTCAGACTGACAGGCACTTGGCCCACAACACACCTGACATAATAGTTGAAAAGAAAAAAGTATGGTTCATTGACATTGCAATACCTGGAGATGCATGAATTGAAGATAAACGGCAAGAAAATATCAGAAAGTACCGGGACTTGCAAATTGAAGTTGAGTGATTGTGGAAAAAGAAATCGTGTGTTGTCCCGATTGTAATTGGAGCCC